GGGTAGGAGTAGGTGAGGGTAGGTTTTGGATGGGGACAGGATTAAGGTGGGGTAGGAGTAGGTTGGGGTATGATTAGAGTAGGGGCAGGGTGGGGGTAGGTGTGGGGTGGCAATGAGGAGGTGAGAGTCACGAACTGATTTCTTATCAGGTCAAGGTCAGAAGTTCCAACAAGGTTGGCTAGTTATTGTATTATAAAGTCAAGGTCAATTAAGAAGTATAACGGACACGGAATTAGATTCGGACAGGGTTGGTCAGTTCAGTGTGTATGTAGTACACAGTATGACAGGTCGTTCTGTCGAATTGGGTCAGGACTTACTCATGTGATGTTTACGATGACACGATAGTGTCCAGGGACACATCGCAGGGAACTCTCTGTACACTTATATCGGCTTGTTTATAATATGCTGTCAATAATTCACCACCTAGGTATATCTATATTGGTCTGTTATAGACTGCAGCTTTAGTGGGGAACTGTATAACAATGTAGTACGCGTGTGTACAGCATACAATCACAAGCGATTTGGTAGAGCGTATGTCTAGAGCTCGGAGGAACCCGGGTTCGAACCCCGGTCTGGCCGTGCATTTTTCGCTCCTGTTACAAAACCACGGAATTTCTGGTGTTACACGCCTCAAATTAAAAAGGTGCGCGTGCATCTATTTTTTTTTAAAGATGAATTAAATGTCAACAGATTTATTAACGCAGCTATGGTAGAGACTGCTGTATCTATCAAAATGATATGAAGAATTATACGCCCCGCTGCATTGTCGGGCATGCACTATAGGAATATACATGTATACACAAAAGCATCACCTTTGCCGACGGCATTGTCATGAAAAATGGTAGAAACTGAAGTAAATTGTGTTAGTATTTATTATAAGGTGATTCTAAAGGGAAACCCGTATCAGAGAGACTAGAAAAAATAGCTCGATGAAAAGGTCAACGCTTTCCGTAAAAATGTCTACTTGTGATTAGGACAGATATATATATATATATTGTGTACTAGAAGGCCATTGCCGACCGCCAACTTGTACACATTGCAGTCCCCTATGATGTTCACTTGCATACATGCTGTATTGTATCGGGTCTTAAAGAAACTTGGAACGAGGAAAACACGGCAACAACTGACGTTAGTTCTATCGCGAGATAAGATCTGGTTTAAGCAGACATGCAATGTAAATCTACAGGTTTAACGTTCAGATAAGGAAGTTTATATACATTTAATCATCATTCTTAAGAGCGTTTCCCGACCCTACTACACCTCGCTCGGTTTGTTTTGATTTGAGATGTTTTGTAGGCCTTGAAATGACTGTCGTGCTGTTTAAAATATGCCCAATGGACCGAAATAGTGTCAAAATCGAGAGAAGAAAGACATGACCTTGAAGTACATGTAGCTTTCGGTCAGTGTTCCCCGGGGACAGTTGCCACCTGACTGTCCCGGGGGTTCTATCACCCAACCGGTTTGGTAAGATACACCTTTGTCCTTATGACAAGGGTCTGGCTGTTAGTAAGATAGTTGATATGATAGCATAAATGTATAATAGAGAGTAAATACATCCCAATACTATTGTCACCGAGTCCACAGCCACGGACACAACCGTACAGGTTATAGCAGGGACGCGGTAAGTCAGTTTCCTATATGTTAACATGTAACACGGACGGGAGACACATCCCCATTGAACTTGTCCGGCGTGCCTATGTCTTTGTACTATTAGGTTATTGAGATGCCCGGACTGTTGCCCTGTTGTGAGTGGTGTCGTGTTGACGACCTGTAAATACATGTACAGTTTACTACAGTTACAGAGGTACGACGCGGTTTAAAGGTCTAAGCTGGCCACATATTACATGATTTTAGGATTTAGATGTCCTATACACGGCTATACCCTATACGTAGTGTCCTATACACGGCTATACCCTATACGTAGGGTCCTATACACGGCTATACCCTATAAGTAGGAGGTGTTTAGATGTCCTATACACGGCTATACCCTAGACGTACTGTCCTATACACGGCTATACCCTATACATAGGAGATGTTTAGATGTCCTATGCACGGCTATACCCTATACGTAGTGTCCTGTACACGGCTATACCCTATACGTAGGAGGTGTTTAGATGTCCTATAAACGGCTATACCCTATACGTAGGAGGTGTTTGCCTATGATGTGGAGTGAACCACGTTTGATGAGTTCCGTGTGGTTTTATAACATCAAGTATGTGACTGGCATAAATCTATCTCATATTTAATTACAATTACTCCGGTCTTACCTGTCGGTGGTCGTTGCCCCCGTTCTGTTCAAACAGGATCGTCCTCCTATAATGGTTGTTATATATTCATCTGTTATGAATCTTAACTAATTATTGTTTATAGTGTCGTTAATAGGAAAAGTAATCGTTCAGCTCAGCTACATGCACCGTATACATATCTAAAAGAATATCGTCTTATTAAAAGTAGTAAAATGACTCTAATGTTCCTAAGGCGCAACTTTTATTCATTATTTGAACCTAAGTTTTGGATTTGAATAAGACATGAAAACAATGACTAACAGCAATTGACAGCAATTGTAATCTATGTGAAGATCTGGCCCCCACGAATCTCCTTGTTTCAACTAGAATATGGACTTGTTTCCGCTGCCCAGATTGTGTAAATTACATAGTATAAAAATTGAGAACGAATTTTAATATTTATTCAAATATAATTACCGGTATATATCTCAGCTAAGATAAAAGTAAAACTTCTATATTGATTGTTAAAGTTGTTGACATCGAAATCTGTGACGTACTTATTCTTCGTGATGTAAGTAACGTCTGTAGCACGCCCTTATCTTACACGCCTACACATTGAGCGAGGTGGAGTAGGAAATTGAATATTAAATCTGATATTCTTGCTACGCGAAAAAAAAACATCTTTTGACCTACACCACATCAAAACGGGACAGGCTAGTAATACAACGAGACACGCTAGCTATCTTACGATACACATATGACGTGACAGGCTAGATATATTGTTTCATTATATCGTAGGTAAAGTTGGTAGTCCTGTACCAACTCATTTGTTTATAGGTTTATATGGTATACCCGAAAAATTACTCAGAGTATTGACACATTGTCCCTGGTAAAGATAATTTCAGCTAAGTTTACCAACTATCAAGTTAATCTTCCATCTCCATTTCAGTTACAAAGACACAACTTCGTGTAATTTGTGTTATTTATTTTTATGTTTTGGTACGAACTGTCTTGTTAATGTTCGTGTAAATTGTTGTTTTCTCGATAACAAGTTTACTTATAACTTTATAAATGTCTTACACAAAGACTGCTAGTTAGAATCCTTGTCACCATAGAATTACTGCCACACACATAATCGTTCGTCATTAGTTTATAATGGGACAAAAATGTGGAAGGTCTCGAAACAAACCCTTTTTGTACAATAAAAAATGAGGAGTTCATTAGGTCCCTCCTGGGGTGAGGAGGGTAAAGGTCAATGGCTGACATTTTACAAAGGCTACTCCTGGGACGTCAGGTCATAGTTTGGATCTTAGAAGTTGACGGAACTACTGACTTGCATTAGGGTGTTAATCTCCCGTGTTAAGGCTGTCAAAGCCATCATCTTTAAATGTGACATAAACATCAAAGTGGCCAGGGATTAATGATGGCATTACTACAGTCTCCCGGCACAAACACACATACATACCATACTCGAAGTATATAGGAATGTTGTGGTATTCACAGTAGCGGTTTCCATTATTACTGTAATTCGACAAATATCCGATAGTATGTAACGTTTTAGTCCGTCGTGGCCTGGAAATCCTGGTGAGCGCATGAATATAATAACGTATTGTACAAATAAGGGACAATGCCCAGTGTTTTTATTTGCTTTATGTGTACAGTGTGACGTATACTCTATTGTACAGGTTAGGAACATTGTCCTGTGTTGTAACTTCCTTTACATGTACAGTATGACGTATTGTACAGTTTAGAAACATTGTCCTGTGTTGTAACTTCCTTTACATGTACAATGTGACGTATAGTACAGGTTAATAACATTGTCCTGTGTTGTAACGTCATTTACATGTACAATGTGACGTATTGTACAGGTTAGGAACCTTGTCCTGTGTTGTTACTTCCTTTACATGTATAGTGTGACGTATTGTACAGTTTAGGAACATTGTCCTGTGTTGTAACTTCCTTTACATGTACAATGTGACGTATAGTACAGGTTAGGAACATTGTCCTGTGTTGTAACTTCCTTTACATGTACAGTATGACGTATTGTACAGGTTAATAACATTGTCCTGTGTTGTAACGTCATTTACAT